CCGACACCAGCAATGTCTTGCCAAACTTCTTGCATTAACAATTACGCATTGTTGTTTTTGCCTGACACCCTGAGAAGCAGAAAAGTTTAAAACGTTTAATAAGTCGATATTGGATCGCTGCCTTGAATTTACAAACACAGGCAAGTAAAATATTCTAGGTTTCTGCAATAAAAATTCTATGCTTGCGAGGTTCATCTCTGCCCCACCAAATGACATCACGCTTACGGCTACAGTTTTTGGTATAACGCAAACAAAAACAATGTCGTGGACAGGCTAAGGCCACATTCACACCTAAGAAGTGAGGCGAAAACGAAAACACCAGAGCATCTGGAAAAGCGCGACCGCGCGCGTCAGAGATGTTCACATTCGTGCTGCCCCTCGGGGTTGCTACCGTCGCCACCCCCGTCGCTACTTTGACAATTATTTAGATTATGCATGCTTTTTGTGCACTCAGTCCCGTACCACATTCTAGTTATTTACGCGAAGTACTGAAAAGAAGCCGCTCGCACCTTTCCAAACGTTGTTAAGCGAGATACACCAGGAAGTACGACATGAGGGAAGGCAGTGGCGGTGGCGGATTCAACCGGCTGCGCACAAAAGCATGACACATCTGGACATGCCGACTGGCTGCACTTGCACGTCTACTTCCAGTGTTCTCGGCGACGTAATCCAAACCAGTCTCTCGATGAACGCGTCCTCGTTGATGCCGTGAAGCTTCACCGTACTGCATGTGTATTTTCAGTTTCAGCCTATGCGGGCGACCGCTGATGCCATTGCCACCATGTTGAATCGGCCACCGGCTGTTGAGGTCACGCGGTTTCAGCTTGCGCAGCCAGAGCCGTGAAGCGCAGAAAAGACCCGCTTTCGCGTGGCGGGAAAATTTGCCTCGGACCATTTTTTTTCGTTATGGCCTCACGGCGCGTAGTTTTTCGGCCACTCAGGCAGCGAAGCAAGTGAATTTCTGGAGAGTTTTGCCACTTTTCGACCCCTACGACACTAAGTATGAACGCGTCTTAAGCCTCTGTTAACTTACAAAATTAGCGTATGCTACACCATCAACCCTAAACACACATTCGTTATTGTAAAATGGTGTGCAATGAAAACTCACATTGGAGGCCTATGATCTACATAGGCACACCGTGAATAGCGTACGCATACTTTTACGTCAGCGTTTCTTGCCACTGCGCATGCGTCAATAGGCACTTTTAGAATTGCGTAGAGAAATAGTTTGCGTTAGCGCACAGCGGTGAGCATTGTTATGGCGCGAACTAGAATCGACAAATGAACTGAGCGGCACTTCGAAGTAATTGGTACCGAGTCTGCCTGGTAGATTTGTCGCAGTAGTAGGCCGATATCGAGTAGCGCACCATCGCGGTTGCACGGAACCGAATGTTAAACGTGGCGACGGTTTGCAAACGTGATACGCCATCGTCGTTACTTGTGCAGCCAGCATCATGAAATTTGTCTAACGTAACACAATCATTTAACTCCCCCCTAGGTAGCGTTTGTGTCACAGCCATATACTAAATTTCTAACAAAGCGCAATTTCCTGCACAAGGATGTTGCAGGTTCCATCAGAGCGACCGGAACAATGATATCGAAAATAATGCACACTAACGCTTTTCAAAATAACAAAATTGCGAAAATTCGTCGAACAACGACGCTGCTCGGAAGGTATCGGTGAAGTGTAGAAGTTAGCAGGTAGGCGGGGTTTGTAGTCCTAACTACACGTTTCATCGCTCTAACTACTTTGGTTCGCTGGTCGAGATCGAGTGTGTTGGCAGCATGCGGTGCCCCTTAATACATACTGTAATTGGGCTGAATGTACTGTAAAACAAAAACTGCCTTTATTTTGACTTTGCTGAAGAATATTATACTTTAAGTATAATGAAAGTGACTTACAAGCATTCGTGACTCATTTCTCGTGAGTTTGAAGCTAATCGTTCATTGTCGCTGTCACCCTCGGTGTGTTGACAGGCTTCTAAGTCCAGTGCGAAATCCTTGTCATCACAATGGTTCTTTTCAGCATCACTGCTGGAAGTAATGTGTGGCATTCTCTCCACCGAACATATTCGACACGGTGCCTCTCAACACGTTTATCTGGGCGCAGAGAACATTTCGTTCTGAAACGCGTTCACAAGCGAATTGCTTGCAGTGTGCTTCAACAGATACAGAAATCAACAGATACAGAGATCTCTAAACTGATACAGAAAAGGAAGCGGTGCATCATCGGTCATGTTTTCGAGGGCAAACCACGAGCCCGCGCAATTTGCAGCGTACAATGAATGATATGGGATGGTGAGTGTGAACTGCAAAGGTGAGACGATAACGTTTAACTAACTATATGGGTACAGAAAATCTCGCGAAACTCATTGATGTACGTGTGCTGTGCGGGCGATAACCGAAAGTGCGAGTTACCTCATTTTTTACGTCACAAAAGCTTCACGTCTTGGAAAAACAAATCAGATTTATCGTCTCAAGGGCGGTCCAATTTATTCACTGATGCACGGAACATGCAAAGTGGTCAGTGCTCTCTTCTTACTAACGTGTTAACACAGGATAGCACCAAGAAACCACATTGAATAGCACAAGCTAACAAGGGAGCGTCTGCCTACTGACCTTCCTGGAGATGGCGCCCCTGAATTTCGCTTGGCAGCGCGACCGTCCATGGGCATTGCGAATCACAAAAGGGAGTTTTCTAATAGGGGCGCCAAATGTTTGGGGCTCTAAAGCCCTGCGCGTGCTCCACCGCGGTTGTCTATGATATACTCGTCTGCTGACCCGTAGGTCGCGGGATAGAATCCCGGCTGTGGCGACTGCATTTTCGATGGTGGCGAAAATGTTGTAGTTCTGTGTGCTCAGATATGGATGCACGTCGAAGAACCCCAGGTGGTCGAAATTTCTGGGGACCTCCACTACGGCGTCACTCATAATCATATGGTAGCTTTGGGACGTTAAACCCCACATATCAATCAACCAATCAATCAAGCCATTTGCGCGTGCTCGCTTTCAGTCACGCAGTAGCCATGAGTTTTCTTGTGTGTCTGTGGTGCTTCCGACACTCCCGCTTTTTCAGGTAACTCTTAGTCTTGGACGAGAGAAGTCACTTCAGTGGGCGTCGTCACGCTTGCATGACGCAAAGCTTTCAGAGCACGCTTTGGGCCTCCCGCTGATTTAGAGAAATGACGCCTCCAACGCAAAACCGAAACCCTGCTTGGGTCTCGTGCATGCGCAGTGGCCTCTACGCTGTTTTTTTTTTTTGGGGGGGGGGGGGGGGCAGGGGGACCTAAAATTATTCCGGCCTCTAATAGTACACTCCATAAATCGTATTTCACTGGGACATCTTTAGCGTGTTTTTTTTTCGGAAACTGGTGGAAATTCAGAGAGAACTAGTAGAAAAGGAAAGGCAAGAAGATTAACTAGTCAAGGATAGTGGTACATCCACGTTTCTCAACAAGTGAATCACGCAGTGTCAGCTGTTTTTGTAACGCGTATTGAAAATATTTACCACCCTATTTTTGAACTTTTCTCCATGGCAAACTGCTTAGAAGAGTGACGCTGTTTCCACTTTATTACGATATAAAGCAACGCACTCGTTTCACTCGAGAAAGTAATGGCAGTGCCCACTTCCAGCAAAATCGGTTTTTGCTGATTAACGATACTCGGCAGCAATTCTTGAGAAGCGGCGCGTCATTTTAGGTCGACGCTCGGGGCTCTACTGAACTGAATTGTATGTAGGAGGAACCTCGAGTCGAGAATTGTTTCTAAATGTGAGTGTTGATGATTTCGCTGACCTGAAGGCTCTGCCGCGAAGTGGGACTTAAACTTTTTTGAAATCGGGATTTTTATAAGTTCATGTATGAACGGCGCCCTACAAACACGCAAATGCATGCATGCATACATACATATACATATGCATGCATACGTACGTACGTACATACGTACGTACGTACATACATACATACATACATACACACATACATACATACATACCTACATACATACATACATATTGTAATGTTCATGAAATGCAGGGTTCAGGGCCTATGGGCTTTCAACGACCTCTGCGGCACAGCCAATGTCGCACACCCGATCACATTTCTGGAGCTTCCCATGCAATTGCGCAGCATCACCGAGTGTAATGTAGATGTAGTGGAGCTCGGGCGTGGGTGCGTGTGGGGCTTAGTGGAAGGAAGAAAAAGACGGAGGGAATGCGCACAGCCGGCCCGCAGCAAGGGCGTTGTCTCTTTGTTCTCTCACATTTTCTTCACAATACGTACACGTACGTGGTACAGTCTACCACAAAAGATTACGGACATGCGTACGTACGCATGTCCGTATTTAGGCCATGCACGTATCTGACGTCAAGAGCTGTTCGACGTTCTCGAAGGCTACATTTCGATCCCTTTGCCACACCCAAGTTGCAGAATCGTTGAGCAAGGCTCTAATGGTCATTCTGATGACCAAGATGTCTGGCAGAAATCTTAGTAGATGATATATCATTCCGAGTAGTCGCCTAACACCGACAATCTGCCGTTTAGAGCTTCCATGGTTCGGACTACTTCGACATTGCCTGAAGATAGCCGGACGTACAGTGCTGACATGACGACTCCGAGGAAGGAGACTTCATATATCCAAAAAGGACAATTGCCCTGGTGTAGTGTGTTGCCTGCTTCCACAAGTAGAGATAGCACCTGCAGCTCAGTCTGGCGTCATGCTTCTGGTGGTTGCATCAAAGAACCGGAATGACACCTATCATGTTGATGACTATTTCTTTGCGCCTCAGGATTCATGCGATCTGTTCTTGCAAGCACTCTGGTGCGGAGATGATGCCAAAGGGGGGGGGGCAAGTTATTGTAGGGCCGGGCATATGGCGCCATGAACGTTGTGACCTCTTGAGAATCTGCAGAGAACTTTTACTGGTGGAAGCATGCGGACAGAACTTCTAACAAACTTAAGCGTCACTAGGAAGGCCAAGGACTTGATCAACAGTTTGCACATTATGGCATTTACGGAAGGTGACTTTATTGCACAAAGGACGCTGCAACTGCAAGACATCCAAATTTTTACCTTCTTTTTACACATCTCGTGCTTTAAAGCTCGTCTGGAACTTGACTGCAGGTATCTCGGTCATATGAAGGAATTTTTACTTCGCAGCTTTCATCGTAATGCTCGACACAGTGCACTGGAACGGCGTCTTTAATTGCGTATGGAACCCACATCAGGCACTCTGAAAAAAGAAAAACAGTAAACGTCTGTCAAATGACCTGTTTGTTTAGTGTTGTGTGCAAGCTTTGCAACACACAAGCATTTGTGTCGAGCTATTACACAACTACAAACTGGTAAATAAATAAAGGGGGATCACAAGCCAACGTGAGTGTAGCCATACTGGCAGGTCTCAACCAAAGAGAGGCGTTTGGCTGTAATTCCACCGTGGTAATTTGAAAGAAAGGCTGAAAAAAGAATAAATATTTTTACAGCGAAAGCTGCATACGGCCAGGAGAAATGAAACAACGTTTAAAGTAGGTGTGACGAACAGTCTCTATTGGCTGTACAATCAGTTGCGTCATTCGCAGCGTCTTACTCAAGCACGTGTGCCATTGGCTGCGTTGAGAGTGACTTTGACCATCACGTCGCAGCAGTGGCGCAAGGCTCACGCGCATCAGTTTCTAGAGGGAGCTCACGCATGAGTAGGCCACGGAGAACTGTAGAAGAGCGCAGACAGTGGAAACATGAAAAATCTCGCATTCGCCGGGCCGATGCTGCAGTCCTGGCACAAAAAACGGGCACGGGAGGCCAAGCGCTGGCAGCAACTGTGTACCGATAATCCATTAGCCTTTCAAGCCTTTCAATGAAAGCGCCGGTGTCAGGCGGATCCTGCAAACCTCACCGTTGATCTAGCTCGCGATGCAAAACGCTTGCAACCGCGCTGCACCATACAAGCGGGGAGGCGGCATTAACGTCATGATTACGGGAGCACGTTCACTGGGGTGAACGCCCAATTTCAGCGGGACTTCCTCCAAGAGGCACTTTGGATTTGGCTGCAACGTCTGTGGCCGCTGGTCGTTCGACAAGAATCACTGTGATTAACGCATTGCGATCTGCATTTATCTGCTCACCACACTCCTTCATCACAGTGATCATTCCAGGCGTGATTTCCGGCATGTGAAATGAACACTATGGTAAACCCAAAGCATACTTGTGTCTAACCTAACCAAGAAGCATGAACAAGTAACAAATAATTGTAAAAGTTCTCAGTGCAGTGTCGGGTTGAACGCACTGCTGAACGCGGGGGCCCCATGCACGTTCCAACTTTCACTGGTTAACAGCATGTGCGGAGTGCTTGGGCGGTGTTTTTTTTATTGTTCATTGCTATAAGTGCCACCATTACACCAACTATCGGTATAGCAATTGTCACATCAAATATACTCTCTTTTTTGCTACGCACAAAGGAGAGCGAGTACTAATCTAATATCCAGTAGTCTCTCAGCACTATAAAGAAAAAAATACGGCTAATCATCGAAGCAAGACAACGTGCGATACACGTTCGAGTCGCACTTGACTCAATGTATTATATTAATCTCAAAGAAAAGAAAGAACGACAGGTCAGATAAGTGTAACAAGCCTTCTCTCTGGACAACTAAATGACATCTGAGTGATTATTCTTGATAGTTATTAAATTTTTTTTTGCTGTTTAACGTCCCGAAATTGCCCCGCCGCGGTGGTCTAACGGCTATAGGTTACTCGGCTACTGACCCGCAAGTCGCCGAACCAAATCCCGGCTGCAGCGGCCTCATTTTAAATGGAGGCGAAAATGCTGTAGGGCCTTTAACGTGCGCCCAAAACGTGCGCCCAAATCTGGGCTTCTGTAACGTGCGCCCAAATCTGACCCTGTAGGGTCAGATTTGGGCGCACGTTACAGAAGCCCAGTTGGTTGAAATTTCTGAAGCTCTCCACTACGCGATCTGTCATAACCATACGGTGGTTTTGTGACGTCAAACCCCACATATCTCATTATCAACGCCTCAAAATCAGCATATTATTATGAGAGACACCGTAGTAGAGGGCTTCGGCAATTTTGACCACCTGGGGTTCTTTACGTGCCCCCAAATATGAGCATACGGGCATACTGCATTTTCGCCTCCATTTAAAATGCGGCTGGCGCAACCGGGATTTCATTCGGCGACTTGCGGGTTCACAGCCGAGTGCCTTGGACCCTGGACCACCATTGTGAGCAGAATATAATATATTACTCGTTACATCGATTTCGTAACATTACCCTGGACCATCTCATTTTTGCCCCTTCATCGCTGCAGTGCACGTGCTTTCACTCAGTGTTTCCATAGAAAAATATTCCTTGCTGCTCAACATAGTTTATTTCAAACTGCTTTTTTGTACCCCATACTTTTGTACGATCACTATTTATTTACCTAGGCTGCTTTTTGTAAGCCTGCTTTATTAGCTGAAGTTTAGGTGAGCGTATAGCCGAATGCTGGACAGCTTTTCTTGCAGGCAGACATTTAAAAGATCACTAAAGTCAAATATTAAGTTACGTCAGAGTGAAAGCTCTATGAATGACATCTAAAAGGACAATACTATCAACAACAGTGCCTTACTTAGCGAGAAGTTGGGGTAAGTGCACAAGAACACATGCGCCGCAGTAGGACATTCTCAAATGTATCCCGATGACATCAGACGGATCACCTACAATTATTCACCGGTAATCGATCTTGCTGCACTAAATAAAGAACATTACGTGCATCACAAGACGCAATAAAATGGTGCTGGTTCGTTTCTGTTTGTTTTATGAAAAAAAAAATCAACCACCAGAGGTTACTATGCGCAATGGCGCGAGTGGTTCAGAAATTCATTTTACGCTTAGTCAGACTGGACAGGTGTTGCCATCTAGCGGAGTGCAGTTAAACAAAAAAATGGGTGTAATCTTGGAGCCAATGGCTGAAAATTTATTTATAGGTGCTGTTATTGCTGTGGCTTCCGCTGCTTTTGGTCTGCTCCTTCTAGCACAGTAAAGCCGAGCAACGTTCTGCACGGCAACAGTGACGCGAGTCAGTCCTGTCGGTCTGTTATTTGAGGCGGGTAATTTAAAGCATGCTAACCTGATTCGGACCACCAAAACATAATTTTATTTTAAAATAGGCCCCTTCTTGGCACAAAAGTAACCCTACGAGCTTTCTGGACCACTATTTTAACAATCAACGTCAACCTAATAGTTGCCCTTATGGTCCCTTTAATGCCAATGAACAGCTTCAATAATGGTCGTTTCATTATGACATCCAATTTCGTTTCTGTTTCGAAATTTTGTGGGTGAGAAACGAGGATACGAATTTTATTTGCTGTAAAAACAAATCTAGTCTGTTCTCTTCGAAGTGGTTTCTAGTGGATTTAAAGTTTTCAGAAGATAGAGCACTAATATCTGTCACCTGGAAAAAATCTAAATGAATGCGGTACCGAAACAAAATTTTCAGGTATGAAGTGCGTCTTGAATCAGTGCTGTGAAGTCTTTTCAAGACCCTATTCTTTCTTTCAAAGAAGCATCACAAATGCATGAATATTCAAGCGTAGAGAAAATGTCACTATCTCTTATGTTTTTGTAAGTTTACCTTTCCTTCCCTTAAAAGGAAGATCGACGATGGCACATGCTTTGTAATCTGTGTAGAGCAAGGTCATATCCAACTCTTGATCATCTGGAATTGTTAACACGGATCATTAACTTGTTTCGAGACAACGCCTAGCAGATCATATTGACAGAATTTTAAACTTTGCCTTCTACGCCCAGCAAAAGTTATGGACGTGATAATGTGTTAGTTTTTTTTTGTTATGCGTAAGTCCTCGAAAGTATCTTTGAAACTGTTCAATTGAAACCTGATGGCAGTAATTGCTTTGCTTTTGAACTATCCTAAGCTGTTTTAAGCACCAGTGAGGGCAGTATATTTTTTTTTAGTGCCTCCAGGAATGCCCCGAGTTTGTTTTTAGCAACAATAACTCCAAATACTTCTTTTTAATGTCCTTCTAAACGCAGTGATCAATCGAAAGCTGTTTTTTATATAAAAACACTTATTCAACGAAAGTGAATCATGTCATTCCTAATAGTTTTTTTCAGGTGAGTTTCATGTATATACAATGCACGCTAATTATCATCTTTGAAATTCCGAATATGTGAGCACCTATTCTGACTTGCATGTTTCACATGTAAGACTAGGCCTACTTTATTGAAACAGCATGGCTATAAACTCACGTGCTCTGCACTCGCACGGAATCATACTGTCTGTAAGCTTTTTAATAATGTCAGTGCAAAAACCAATTCCTCAGATAATTTGTTACAGCCTAAGCATTTTGTCAAAGCTATTAAAATTAAAAGCTTGACAGGGATATTAGCCTACTGACAATCAAAACAATAACACAGTGTGTCAAGCATTTGCATTTAAAAACTAATCAAAAGGTGTCATGTTTTGATGCATAATGTAGACTATCAATTGTGGCCTGTTTTGGAAATTACCGCAGTTTGAAACTATAGTGCTTTGGCCACCATATTATATTAGTCTGACCTAATCTAGGTAGGTTCTGTTATTTTGTGGCAGCAAATGTTATATGGTTTCCTGTTTTTTCGTTCAGCTGAATATTTCTTGTTTCGAGATCTGCAATAAGCAAAACATGAAAAGCTGGATTATGTCATCCTACAACTTCAGCTTGATTTTTTGAAGGTTCTCAATGCTTAAACTACGATGCCAACTTATCAACCTCAAGAACGGATCTTTTGACGCATCATGTACTCACTTTACACGCAAACGATGCAGATTCCACACAGCGTAGCAGTTTGAAAGTATTCTTAATGTATATCAGTTTTGGATTAATAAAACTGGCAAATGTGCTGTTCAAGTTCGTTGCAGCATTTCTATAACTATTTCAAAGACGATAGTCTTCCTTGGTGTGCTTCGGCGCAAAAATTTCTGTCTGTCTGTCTGTCTGTCTGTCTGTCTGTCTGTCTGTCTGTCTGTCTGTCTGTCTGTCTGTCTGTCTGTCTGTCCGTCTGTCTGTCTGTCTGTCTGTCTCTACATTTATCTCTTTGTCCACCGCAATGATACACCAAACAGCTCGAAAAGGTACTTCAAATGGCCAACCACATCCGCAGCGCCAAACAATATTGCTTAGGTTTCATCGTTCATACTTGTGCGATTGTCACTTAAAAAGAAAATTATGTAAGGCTCCATAACAACACGTCAATAATTTGTATGTGTGTCTTTACATTAGAGAAAGCGTACATAAGTAATTCTAAGGACCGTAGCAATTATCACGCTGCGCGGACAATGCAACACTAGGCTCAAAAAGGCAAGTGTTTCTAACGCTTTGCTAAGACGGCATGGTGGTGGCTCCCGCCTGTCGCTTTGCGTTCTACATCTTAACGCCTCCGAGACAGACGCGCATCTTTCTCCGTGGGCACGCATGCGTTTCTTCGCTTTTGAAGATAACTGCCAGATAGAGCTCGTGCCTAACGTGCCTAACGTGCCTCACTACGCTCGTTCGCCTTCGCTGCACGAGTCGAACAAACGCAGTGCTTTCAGAATACAATACACCCATTTTCTCGCACAGAACATGAAATAAACGTTTTGTTCACTTTCTCCAGACGCAAAATTATCGTCTTCTGACGGTATTTGCAGTGCAGTGTAAGTTGCAGATACGAGGCCAATGTTTTATTTAGGAAATCAGCTTTTATGCAGCTTGTATTTCAACCACTTAATTGTACAAAAAACTGAGATACGCATCAGCAAAAAGCGCGGTGGGGCCTAGGATTACAAATTTTCGATTATGGGTTGTGTGCTCGAGCCCACGTTTTCATTAATGAACCAGTTTTCAACAAGGCTAGTTCTAGCCTTGAAGAAGAAAAACCTACCTGTGGAAACGGCAGCTGGAGCACTCGAACCTTATTTCCGGATTTTTTTCAGGTCATTTTAATCTTTCCCTTACTACCGTTTTTCACAGTTGCAGCTAGCCTATCATGAACAAGGTACTACGTCTGAAAAAAATTGTTTTCCAGCACCAAATTATTGGAGATAACAAGTACGCCTGGGTCACGGAGCAATATACCCAGCTATGCAAGTGTGACAAAATCAAACCAAGTACATAATCACGAATCACTGCGCGTTTCCCAGTTAAATCTAGTCGGCATATCATGGCAAATAATAAAATAAAATTTTGTTTACCATCATCGTAGGTGAATAAAACTTTGTCTGGTGCTGCTCCTGGCTTCATGTGAAGAGCGATTTCTTTTCTGAAAAAAAAATGGCGTGTCAGTAATATGTGTTCCATTGTGGCGGAAATGACTATAAATAAATATAACGTTGCTACTAGCAATGAGAAAATCTAGCGGGTGGCCTACGTTGTCGGTGTATTTTTATTTACGCGCTGAGTTTGATCTGAAAATTTTACTTTTATGCAAGCTCGTGAATTTTCATGACGAAATTCATTCTTCCATGGTTATGTACGGATCTTACTTCTTCAACGATAACATAACGTGACGTGAAGAGGGTGAGGCTCGCTAGAGAAGACGAGAACAAAAGTGAAGCTGCGGCGGAAGCGGCACATGTGGTGTGGAGAATAGGAGAGTGCAAGGGCTGGATTGGTTGTGCTGTAGAATGAAAACAACCAGTGATAGCGTGTGCTCGGGCGCAACTGGTGCTGGTGACAGAAGAATGGTGCGCCGAGCGTTAGAGAAAGCGGACGAAAGGCGAGGTGATTCCACGAGCTCCGACGTTTTAAAACAGCCTTCGAGACGTCAGGTCCATTCAAGAATTCAAGCTGCTCATAAGTTTTTTTTTTCTTCGCCCCAAGAAGCCATGGATTATGAATATTTGCGGTGGCACAAATCTTCGCTTGTGCTGATACTTCAGCGCGTGTTGAAAGTCCCCAACTCTCCTTCGTATGCGAGTTACATTTTTTATACAACCAGATAAACGGAGACGATGGGAGGGGAGCAGCCGCATACCCTGTTCTCATGAAGCGTTCTTTGTAAAGGCAAACGTCGCGTCAATATCCTGCCTGTTTGAGTGGTATGCCATTTGTTCAAAATAACATTATTAATTTCTGTCCTAAATATATGCGTTCGTTCAAAAGCTTTGCCCAGCCGTAGACTTTTGATACTCATCTCGTCAAATAAGTGTACAGCAAAAGCACTTATGGGATGACAATAAGGATGCTGTACTTGTCAGCCCCCCTCCATGCCAGCCCACTATGCTACAACTGAGCCATGCCAGCTTGTTTTCATTCTTCATTGCCTATGTACCTACTTACAGAATGGACAAACAAATATCTACCAGACAAAGAAAAATGGGAGAAAGAAATTGTACACAAGTATGAAAGCTTGCAGATTTTAAAATTGCTTCTACTGTGGGAGACTTCCCATTTGATGAAGCCACTCAAGTACATATTGTTGGACCTTTTGTGTTCCAGAAACGAAAAGAATAAAAAAAAGTGCTGTCGAATCCACCACGCGTTATCGGCATGACGCACTGCCATTTTAGATTGTCTTATACTGGGCAAGCCCCGTAACACAACGAGATCAAACGTTACTCTTTCCTAGTAATAAACTACAGAGCACAAAAAATCTCTTCAAGTGTTATGTTTGAAAGGAACCGCGTTAAGATACGCGATATAAAGGGGCAGAAGAATAAAATAACAACCACACGTAAAAGAATGCGAATTTTGTAACCAGGCGTCATACAATACTATTTGTATTACGAGCTGGTTGTTGAAGGTTTCCAATTCGTTACAGGCGGTTCAGTCATAATTATTCTTTGTTTTAAGCCACTTAATGAATGCAGCACATTGCGCTTTGCCAGCGTACCTGTAATTAGTAGCATCAAGAGTTTGAAATGGGCTTTAGAAATGGCACTATTCCACCTTTCACAGTGACTGGTGCGCTATCCCGCTGGCCTGGAGTTGCCTTTTTGCGTTTTTTTATTTTTCACGTTTCTCCTGTTCATTGCTTCTGCCATTCCTCGTTGAGAAACTGAAAAATGTACCAGAAGTCATTGTGAATTCAGGCGCATTCATATTAGGTATTGGCATGTTTTGAGAAAAGCCAGGCTTCGCAGTAGGCGTCGAACAAATATGCAGTTGCATTTGAAAAAGAATCGTATCGTAAGTGAATAGCAGAATGGCTTCCATATTTATTAGACGCTTTGTCTTTTTCTCTTGACCACTACTGTGCTATACCATCCTCGTGTGGATCGTTACAGGCGTTCTCATTCCTAGAGAAAGTCGTGGGACAGGGGCGGATGATATAACACCACATGAATTGTGTCAGTCTTGTGATTTTGTGGAGGAGCGAAGCTTTCAATCTCGTAGTTTCAGCAGATGCCTTGCATATGAGAAAATACGCTCCTTCTGTCACTGCTCTAAGTTTACCTGGTTGAGATGCCAAAGTGTTGTGTACAAAGTCCTTCCCTCGTAGGACTGATGGAAGAAATGTGTTTTAATCACGAACTAATTTTGTCCAAGCTTCATGCAGATTTTCGGAGACGTTGGAGAGGATATTAGGGTACGATGGTGAGCCATGTATAAGGAAACAAGCTAAGTAGCTTGTGACTTCCTGAAATGTTTCGTTTTACTGTGTGACAATATCAGACAGAACACGCTTCCGTTGTTTTGAGAGGTCATCGTTGATCTTACAGCGGAGGTGGGTTAACATGGAAATAAAATTCGGCAGATTCCAAAAACCTAAGAATCGACGTTATGCGAAGCATGCGGAGAGAAGGTGACCACGCTGCAATTTTTCATGGATGAAATGACGCTAAATATATGTACAAAAGTTGCCACGCACAAATATATTGAGGAGCTGCAGATGTTTATATAACCAGTTGTTTTCACTTGCGCAACGATGTCAGCTGAAACATTCGTATTAGCAACACCGGAAGCTGATATGAAGCGTTTATGCTCGCGAAGATGTTGGTCCTGGACACTGCTACATTAACTTCAGCGCATGGCAACTGACTTTCACCCCACGAGACAGGTATCAAAAGAGTACATATGTAATGTTCATAAAAATGGATAGGCATCACTGCAATTACTATTGACGTTCCACGAAGATTGGCGTCTTTTGAAAAGTAGTTCCGAGACCTGGTGTAGCTCTGTGGTAAAATGTTTCATTACCGCACAGGATGCTTGGGTTTCATTCCAACTGGGATCCTGACATTTATTCTTTGCATTTGCAAGGTCGACGCTATCGCTGTCGGGTAATTCTCAATGCTAGCGCATCTCAATTATGTGTGTTCTGGTCGTTCCTGGGTAGATACTAAGTTTAAATAACCTGTGGCACGTACCCGCATACTAACAGCACATACCCACCTGTGGGTATGGGCCACTATGTGGCGCGAAGTGTTCGACGACGTACGTGACGAGATTGTGAAAATATTCATGTCTTGACTAGTGCGTCACATTCGTCAAACCATCTTACCCTCCCATGCAGATTTTGTTGCACGCCAAGTTAAAGGAATGACCACGAGAGCACCCAAACGTAAGTGGCTAGATAGATAGATAGATAGATAGATAGATAGATAGATAGATAGATAGATAGATAGATAGATAGATAGATAGATAGATAGATAGATAGATAGATAGATAGATAGATAGATAGATAGATAGATAGATAGATAGACGGACGGACGGACGGACGGACGGATCCGCTCAAAGTAACCGAAGTTTGCTTAGAAATGCGTTGCAATAAATAAAAATAAGGGACGCTTGAGCTTCAGATACACACATCTTGTTCCTAGTGCGTACGACAACCACTTAATGCATACTTTTTTTTTTATGATGCCCGAGAAGTTTAAATTGTAGATCGCAAAGTAATCAACAAAGCTGAAAGCGGGTTGGGTCAGTGAAGCTTTTGCATATAGTCCCTGAAGTACGCATTGAGTTTTCACGAGCTGACACGAACGCCCTGCTCCGCTGCGTGATGCGTAGCTACATACTTCTGCACAGGACCAAACGGAAACGTCTACATCAGTGACTTCACAAATGGGACCCCGTAATAAGGTTCCGCATGCCTCCTAAATTGAAACGGCAACTCAAAAGTACGATCCACCGCAATCGTCTTGGTGTGGCGTACACCAGACGTTACGCGCATATAATCGATCGCAGTAACACTGGTCCTAATTACGAACATGGTGATGCACCAGAAACACTCGAGCACATATTTTGTGACTGCCCAACATACGCACGTGAACGAGAAACACTGATTTCATCTACTGAAAGATATCGCAGATGGTCATTAACTAATGATGAGATCGAGTTGGGCTCTTGGCCAGACACCAACAGTGCAACTGTGGTCGTAAGAGCGGTTGTAGCCTTTTCGAAAGCAACTGGACTACATGCGCAGCTATAAAGTTCTTCTCAGCTACGAAGAATTTTATATACTCACCTCTCTATCTTAACATTGTCATCTATTAGTCTTTCTTCTCCCCTTTCCCCTCCACCAGTGTAGAGTAACAGGCGAGAGTGAGCTATCACTCTGGCCAACCTCTCGGCCTTTCTCTAAATAAAGCTGTCTCTCTCTTAAACCACTGACAGTTATGCTCATGAAATGCTTTCCAACTTAATATGTGCCCACTACCTGGTCTTAAGACAATACACGCAGTAATATGTGTGCCTTGTGTAATGGGCAGCCGGCTTGTTATCATAATCAGGTTCTGACGCCCGACGTCAATGTATGCTTGTTCCACAAAATAGCAGTGTCACACAAAATAGTAGTGTGACGCTCAACGTATGTAGTTCACGTCTCCAGGATGAAACCGTACTATTCGCGTTGATTGCAAGTCAAGAACTTTGTGATGTGGCACTTGCCTTCAAGACAATTGTACATTTCTTTCTCGCTTCTTTCTTTTTCATCTCGTCCTTTTTCTTCTTAATTGAGAGACATTTTTTACTACCTTTTGTTGTTTTTTGGAGCCGCGGAATACATTCGATGTGTCTTCTCATTTTTTTTTCTTTGGGGAGACGATAATTCCACGCTGTGTTGGTGGCAGAAGAAGAGAGCGAAGAAGTGAAAGGCTACTGTAGCTGAGTAAACAGTCGTCCACTTCGAGTTCCTGTCTAGCGTTTCTTCTTACGACAACATTATATATATATATATATATATATATATATATATATATATATATATATATATATATATATATATATATTCCTGCTCACGGCTGGTTATCTTTTCATCCACTTTTCTTTCTTCTTATTTACATTTCATTGTATACACTTCTTTCCCTTATATATATATGCATGTGTGTGTGTGTGCACGCGTGTGTAATAAGTGCAAGTCAAAAGTTTTCTCAGGAAGTTCGATTTCAAATTCAAAGCTCACATTGAGGTTGCCGCTGTGTTTATCAACTGCATATGAAGAACTAGTATAGCGAATAGAAACCACAATTTCTATATTATCATTTTACCTTTGAAACCCCTTCAAACCCTTTAGCATCCAAACATATGTAACAGAAGGGCCTTCAGGGTTGAATTCTGTACGCTTCGTTGTCAAACAATCGAGCTCGCCATCTTCATCGGCGTCGAATACAGCGACACCATAAGGGTGTTCGCTGAACACCTGTAACATGAAAATAAAAAAAAATTGTATTAAAAAGTTTTCAGTGTATATCAGACGCCATTTGCAGTGCACTTGGCTCTTGAGCGATTCATGACAATCAGTTGTTTTCATAGGTGTCGTCTAAAGGCATCCTGACCATGTGAACTAAGAGTGCATTCCATTTCGAGGGAGACTCATATCAGCAGGTATTTGATGCTAATATTCTTTATATGTTCGTTGTGGCAGGCTAATTGTTTGAACAACATGAAGGTCAAATTATTATCGTATACTGATTTGGCATCTCAGCTGCTGAATTATTTGTAATCGTACTCTCTCCATATCATGCGATCACAGGGCCCCATAAGAGTTTTCAAAACTTATCACTTTAAAAGCATGGCTCCCTCATAACGCAGTATAGGCACGTATTGCACATTAACGATTAAAAACACCCAAGTCTTCATTAAAATCTGGCATCATTGCGAGTTCGCAATTCATCAAGGTGAAGTCACTACCTGTGTTTATTTTTGCATGTTCTGGCTTTCGAAACATCTCCTCGCTACAAGAGTACTGTTTCAATATGTTGCAAAGTTCCCGAAGGAAAAAAAAAATGTTGGTGATCCCCCTATATGGGAGAGGTATAATACGAAAACGTGTCTTTACGGAGGTAGTTTAGCGTTTATTGTACATTGTTTCGGCAACAGCAAAAAATTGCGAAATCAAGCGATGGCAAGCAGCTTGAAACTTGCAGCGTACACCTCAAGCAGAAAGCACGCACAAAATTAGCATAGACAAGAAGACCGTGGACAAACAACATATAGAGCTCGACAATCAAAGCACGTTTTTCAGCCAGAAAGACGTACGAAACGAGCGCACAAGTAAGCAAATGGCAAGCGCGCTTAACTGTCACAAGTTTTCCTTCTCATCTGTCAGTAGCGCGCTCCTTTCATAAACGCGCCTGCGGCAGCGTGCGAAGTGACCTTCGTCCTCTCCTGAATTACGAGTCTGATAAACGCGCGTGTAAGAGAGACCGCGCTCCATTAAGGCTCCCTAGCGACGACCTGAAGAGCGCGCCCAACGGTAATGCAACGCGAGCCTGTCGCGCTATTGATAACAAAAACGCACTGAAATTTCGAAACTCTGAGGACTGCGAAACGATGTACCATGCATATAAATGGCTGTATGTTAGCATTCAGGACAGCATAGCTCCGCGACATAATGCATAGCGCTTTGCGCTCAGAATCGAGAGGTTGGTCGTTCGATTCTGCGTGACAATTGCTTTCCTTCTTGTTTTTTCGTTGTAATCTCGATGTATATTTCAAACGTCACTTTTGTCACGAAAGAGCATCAGCAGAGCCGTGGGGTACTCCGGCATAAAACACTTTTATGTTAAAACGGTGGAGGATCTTAAGCTTCGCCTTTAAAAGTTGAACGCGATAGCGATATCCTGTTCCTAGTGTGTTTTATGTAATAAGGAGCATGCTTTAAACGAGGAGCAATGATTCGCCGAATTTCTTGCGGCACTTGCTATGCACCCATTATGTGACCATAAGAGAATAGACGCATGTAATGTGTGTGCCTTTTGTAGTGGGTGGCTGGCTTCAAACCATGAAGTCAAGATGATAATGACATATTCTGACGCCCGATGACACTGTACGCTTCTGCCATGCATTATTAATGCGATATTATATGTTGCGTTGTGAAGCATGTGTACACAACGCGTGTTTTTTTTTTTTTCAGCATGAAAGTTACTTTCACTGCATTTTAAAATAGACACACGGCTGTGTGGTAGTAAACCTGCTTGTCACGCAGCTACCGGGTTTCGATCCTTACCCAGACCAAGAAATTTTAATAATTTTATTTGCATCTTTCTCGAGCTTTCGGTGACACACAGGATGGTGATTTTTCGCTCACAACGAAGGACGCCGAAACTGACGCCGGCACCAACGGCATAATTTTAGGAAACAACCTCTTTAACGCTATCACGTCAAAAGTTAATTCGAAATTCGCTTTCGTGCCTTTTTCATAACCTATACCTTACGCATCGCTTAAATGAAGTACAAGAGAAAGAAATCATTGCCTTAGCATATATACTAAGTCAACAGAACACGGTAATTGCAGCTCTGTTGCGGCATTATTATGTACTTATTCTGTCAAATAATTATCCAGGAGTAGTATTCCACCTCCTTGCAGATTGGAACATACCTGGCACTTTGCACAAAAGATAGCAAGGGGTGGTATGCTGCAAATGTATGTTCTTTACAGGCTCTCACGGTCAATCGATGAATGTATTGATTTATTTTGAGCTAGCCAACTGTGTGCAATGAATCAGATTGTGTATTCTAACTCACCCAGAAAAAAATAGCAGTCAGCTTTACGAGGTTTCAGCTTCGTTACCATTCCTGCTCAGCTAGATCACTTCACCCTGAACACAGGAAAATTATATTTGCTAACACTCGGATACTTGCTGGCAGATAATTTTTTCCGAATGAAGATTCTGTGTAATAACTCCAATCTAGACTAAAGTCCAGCCCATGTGTGCACGTAAGCCACTATATATGCTCCGGTGAAGATTAAGAGCACTGCGCTTCGAGTGTTGTGATAATGTTCTCACTGCACATACATTGAAAGGTTTCAAACTAAAGTGGCCATCATCACGTACGAGGTTCCTTTACACGCAACTAAAATTGCGTCTAATTACGCGTGGGGGACACCTTGATTCAATATTCAAACAACGATAAGGCTGTATATCTGCTGTATATTTTGCTAAGCAGTTCCGATTGCATCATCCCCACGTTTCTGGGCGAAAAAACAAACTAAAATAAAAATGAACAAAATGTTACCATTCACATAACTAAACACATTTCGAGCTATCATTGAAAATACAGCTTTAATTAAAATATTGTATCACGCTTTAGGAGGACCACACCCAAAAGAATGTGACAAAACCGGCGCCGACTTGAACTGTTTTTATTGAAATTACCCACATAACATTTTGATGTGAGAACAAGAAAACTGACGCGTGCGCAATCATAAAGGAACAGCAGAAAGGGTGGCATTTGCACAAACTATCACGTTCTGTTTAGTACCTCAAAATAATTCAAAATGTTACCCTTGACTTTCGTTGTCAGGAGTGGGTGAGTGGGTGAAAAGAAATGCTGGTGGACGAGCTGTCAAACTTTAGCATTCCAGTTAGGCCGTTGAAGCGCCACGTTCAGAGGGATGCGGAAAGTTTGTACCTCCTTTTTTATTTTGTGCGGTATAGTTATTCATCATCACGTCACTTACCACATCAGTTACGAAGGTGCAGTGAAGTATGATGCAGCTGCACAAAAATACAGGCAGTGATACTGGCGCAGCAATGGCACTTAGTAGGGTCACTTATAAACGAGCGCGAAATTATTCAAATCAAGTCACTGCATTTTCACTTGAGGAATGTATACTGATTTCATTTTTATCAGAGAATAATGTTTACATTTCAATGCACGTTTTTTTCACAAAATGTTTTTGATAATGACAATGTGTGGTCATTTTAGCAAATCCTTGCAACTGACAAAGCTTTTGCGCAATGAACGATCTTGCAGAATGCTATGGTGCTCGCTTTTTCGTCGAAGTGGGTGGCTGATTGCGTCAAATGCTAAAACATCGTTGCATTTGTTCTAGGAGGGCACAAAAGTAAAGCTGCCAATATCTGCTGCGTTATCAAGTTTGACCAACATGAATCGAAATGTTTGCGGCTATGAAGATACGGAATTGACAGCTTGACAGTTACAAGTTACAGATTTCTATTATGAACTCGATTGGGGAGTGTTTGTACGCGGTCATGCCAATCACGGCCAACTTCTCAGGTCGTCTTCATTGCACTTCTTTACAGCCCAGTTTTCATTCCACACCGAAAGCTGGTAACAATTTTCAGTGCTAAAATGATTACCAGAATGCATTATCAGCAATGCTTCGATAAGCCGGAGAAGCTGCCAGTATCTTGCGCTTCCAATAGCTGCTGCAGCCAAACACAGCGCAGTGATAGCTTGTCGAGCTGTTTTCGTCCAAAATTCAATTTTCCACCGCCAAATTTGTTCAGTGCTTCGAAAGAACACATTGAGCTTTCGCGGCCATGCAATGCATAACGTGGTGAATCACACACACCAGTGACATTGGTAGGTGCCCGGAGACAGAGAGAGGGAGAGAAAAATAGAGGGTTAAAAATGCACCGTTTTGAGTTCATGCTCGTCCTCTCCTCGAAAACAGTCTATGAACCCTAAATATATATGTCGTGTTTCTATATACTGTGCTCTCTTGACGGCAGGAAATATTTAGCCCTTTCGGTGCGATCTTAGTCACAACACATTTCAAGAGCGTTTTATACGTGGCCAACTGACGTCATTTTCAATAAAAATATAAACCCATTGAGTGGCCCTTATTCTTACTTGGATTTACATTGGAAGCCCCTTTGATTCACCAGTCAAAAGTTATAAATCATGAATATTCAGCTCTTGTACTCTATAAAAGTTTATTGCACTAGACAGCACTAGGCCTCAAAAGTGTGCTTTTTATATGCCTGCTTCAGGAGACAAAATTCGGGAGTCATCGGATTCGACTCAGTGTGCGGGTGCCGCTGGAGCCGAGGTTTCGATAAGCTACCTTGTCTTGAATGCTGCATCTGCTTTTGTTAGCGCGCTTATGCATATACCTTGTACCCTCTCATCCAACTCAAACACAAGAAGAGGAGAGGGTGAGGCTAAAAACGGGAGTGTAGATAAGGGAAAACAGGGGAAAAGTGATTCTTGAAATGAAATAAGGTGAGAAGTGGGGTTAGGGGACGCAGCTACTATCTGTCAGGTGAGGACTGCTCAACCGTGACACTAGGGGGTGATGCAGCGCTAGTGCGCCAAATTCGGTTCGTCAAAACGAAAGAAGTGTAGTCCATGAAGAAGAAAGAGAGCAGGAGAGGAGGGGGGTGCATATTTGTGTCGAAAGATAGAAAGTGAGTTTGACGTGTCGTGGTAGCCACATGGAAGCACCTCCTGGCAATAATAATTTTACGTGAAAAAAACATTGTTAGAAATACCGAGACAAAAAGCATCGTTATCCCCGTTTTTCTTATGTACGTAATATATCAAATGAACTAAAAAAGAACCTTTTGAAACATCTAAACCTGTTGGCTGGAGTGTAATAAACTTCTCAATAAGGCATGACTCCATGTTTTTTTGTCGCTCGGGGACCTGAAGTATCACTGAAAGATGTTTGAATTAAAATGCTGTGACACTGCTTTCGATAACTTCTTCGCCAAGTCCGTGTGATTCCTGTTTTATCACATAACATTTAGCTTTCATGCTTCCCCACTGCACTGTTTGTGACAATATGAAGATTAGATCAAACATTTAACGTTTCAACCAGTGTAGGCAAATCCATATTTGATATATTTGACGGATTGAATTTCGTAGTTTTCAATTACAACGTGATGTTAAATGTGTTGGCAGTTCTTCCATCTTCGATGAAAACAACGTAATCTGTGGCCAGTAGAACAAGGATTTGATTTTTTTTGCACTAACATGTCCTTGAAGCTCTTAATTCGGCGATAGGCGACACTTGGTACTTCATAAATGCTTTTATAAGGCACCCGTCGCTTGCTAGTACTGAATAATACTTCTTGTGTTTGGCTATTTGTGTTTGGAGATGATGTGAATATTTGGTTATAAAGACTAGCAGCTGGTTGCTCTCTGTTAATGCGGCTTAGTAGCTATTATTCAATTTTGACGAAAATGCTTCGTTGTATATGCCTTGCTTAGACCATCGAGCGAGTAATTTCTTTCATCGAATGTTTGCTTTGGGTTGATTAAGTATAGTGATCAGTCATCGATGTTGCTACAGATCCTTTGCATGCGCCTCACTTCTCCCTAAAATATCCCTTGTATGCACTGTCGTGGGTAACGACTAGTGTAATTTGGTTATTGTTGGTTATCTCTTCGCTGTCTTCGGTATTTTTAGCTATGGTTTGCGGCAATTTGTACAAATGTTGGCTTTAGTGGCAGCGAATTTTTTATACTTTATGGTCACTTCATGCATCTCATGTTCCCCTTAATTTCTGACAGTTTCGGTTCAATAAAAAGTGACATGTGATCGTTGTCGGCATTTGAATCATACATGTGCTAAAAATTGCATTTTCTCACCTTAAAAGCATCTGGAACTTCGTTCAGCGTTTGGTCCCTGGCTTCCGCCCAACCCACTGCCTGGGCCCATAAGCAAACACACAGATTCAACGCAACCACTAAAGCAACCATCTGCTTTTTTCGACTCGGGACTGCTCATTGGGCATAGCACATTGCTAGCCGTGTCTATATAAAGTACAAAATGCCGGCTGTGTTCCGCGGCTCATGTATTCCTTATATTTCGCTTTTCATCTGACACTGTTTTGTGTCATTTTCCCAGACACCTATACATCTAGCAATATAGTATCATGGCCATTGTCTCACAGATTTTTTTATTATTTTATACGGAACATTTTTTGAAAATTTGATGTACATGTCATATGCGTTCGTCATGGGGGCAGGCACTTTCAATTATAGTGACTGGTTTATCAACTCACGAAGATATGTTGTGCTGAAAAACATCTAAAAATAACAGCACCTATTACTTTCCCGTCACGAGAGATTATTTCTGGCGAAGCACTTACAAAATTTTGACTGTATACGTGACAATAGTATGGCAAAGAGGACAAATGTTTCTCTTGTCATAACTGGCACTAGACACTACCACTGACACCAACTGCAACTTTGTTATTTGCTGCACAGGCCAGCTAACCATCCGACTTTCTGTTAGAGAGAAGAACATCCTGCTACTCATTTTCGCGCGTTCTCCTGAATTGATTTTCCAACGTCGCATTCCCTTGTATATGTTAATATACTAGGACAGCGCTATGCTGCCGGAATTTTTCGACGTAATAGTGTTGAGACTGGAAGTATTGCCATGCAAAATGTACGCGAGTGAGTCGACCTGCAGTTTCTAGTGTAGTGGAACAGTGTCCGTAAATCAACCATTTCACAAAGACGATGAAGTATGCTTAAATTATGCGAAAGTATCCAAAGTCTCCACAACTTCTAAAATTTGAATACTGATGTATAAAATGTTACAAGGAAGTGGTTAGAATCATGCTAGCTTTCAGCTGTGTGCCGGACCATCTGAATTGACCCTCTGCTACATCTAACTCACCTCTATTATTTTTCTGTATCGCGTGCCATCATTCAAATGTCAAGAAAAAAGATTCCAGAAAATTAAGGCAATCTGCACACTTGTCAGACCTTTTTCAAATATTGCTATGGTAACGGAAGGAAAGATGCGTGAATTGAAGGACTCGTTTTCGTTGTCGCACACAATATTTTTTAGAACTAGAAGACATTGATGCCAAGAAAAGTGTAGATAATGTTATTAGAAATAATGAAATAATTGTAAGAAACAAAAGTAGAGGAAAAGATGACTTGCTGCCATCAGAGACCGAACCAGGCTCCTTCGAATGACGCGCCTGGCAACGGTGATCTACTGGCTCAATTACTCGGCTGCTGACACGCAAGTTGCGGGATCAAATGCCGGCTATGGCGGCTGCATTTTCGATTGAGGCGAAAATGCTGTAGGCCCGTGTGGCCAGATTTGGGGACACGTTAAAAAATTCCAGCTGGTCGAAAATTTTGGAGCTCTCGCCTACGGCGTCTCTCATACTGATATGGTTGTTTTGGGACAATAAATCCCATGCATCAATCAATATCCTACGAATAACGCATCCCATGCTCAACCACTGAGCAACGGCGGGCGTCGTCCAGCCGTGCACTTATATCGGTCACAAAAGAGCGCTCAAGAGAGCGTGCACCTCCGATTTCTAACGGCTATGTTAAAAGCACTCGCCGATCAGACGTGACAGAAGTCGGCGCAACGAAGTAACCAGCATCAAAAGACACCACGCGCGCACCCCCTCTCCCCCTCAAGCCGGCCGCCGGCCACCTTCTTAGATCTAACACAGATGAAGTTCAGGGACATCTGGAAGAAAAGGGGTGTGACACTGCAGCGTGGAGTTACGGGACGCGGAAGCTAGGAGAAAGATCTCGCCGTTTTCTCCAGATCTGGCTATGAGGCGTGCCGACGAAATGCCTGGAAACTTCTAGAACCCAGCGGTGAACTACATGAGCCAGCGGCGGAGGTATATATGCAGGTCAGGAGATGAGTCGGTGTGTCATTTTGCCTGTTCTGGCAGCGTGCGAGTGGCCGATGGTGATGCCAGCGAAGTTTCGCTGTTTAAGTGGGGTCAGTTGAAGTGTTTCGGTGTGGACAAATTTCGAAGAGCGTTTTCTGGAAGAGAAACCTTGGACGCAGTGGGAGGACACCGGCGCCGGACTTGGCGGGAGTGCTTCGAAGCACTCAAGCTGGGTTCCAGGAACGTTAGAATGAATACGTTTGACGAACATTCTAGTCTCTATCCGTTTTTGGATAGTTAATGCATTACATAGCATTTTAGCGCCAGTTGTTTGTGCCCGTTATTCAATTTTGAATGTACCACCGTACCATGCGAGTTGTATTTGATAACTGCCGAATGTGCATGTTTGTACGTAGATTGTAGTGCCTTATCCTAGAATATAGTTTGTTATGCTATCAACTCGCGACCACGACCGGTGATCGCTCGTGCACTGAAGGTACCAAAACTAAATTATCCGCGCTTTCGTGGTGCGTTTCGACGGTCAATACGTCAGCGTCCTTGGAATCAGCCCGGCGAATGCCTCCAACTTAACGGGGATTAGTGAAAATATGTGCACTTAAACATAGTAGGGTCAGTGGGCGCCGCCGATAACAATGCAGCCAGTGTGAAAGAGTCGTTTTAAATGCGAAGCATTTCTTGGCGAACTTCGGCGGCTTTGAGCGTATCTATCTATCTATCTATCTATCTATCTATCTATCTATCTATCTATCTATCTATCTATCTATCTATCTATCTATCTATCTATCTATCTATCTATCTATCTATCTATCTATATATATATATATATATATATATATAGGTGGCTATATATATATATATATATATATATATAGCCACCTACCACTTTTAGCGCACCTGGCCGTTTGGATAATGGTATTGATACCAAACTTGTTTTGATATAACATGACTGTATGACGAACATAACTAGTCGTAACATGAAAATCATGACTTGTATGTCATAAATGTCATGATTTACAAGTCATGGTCTTGCTGCTATTGCGGAGGTTTCATTCACATATGTTGCAAAACTGGTATGGTATGACCCGACTACATGGCGAACACAAGCGACATACCGTAACATCGAAATCATGATATGCGTGTGATGTAACAACATGACTACATGCCTCACTCATGATGTGCTCATGACCGTTTCGCTAGCTTTGCATTTACCAAATATGCTATTACGGGACGTGAATGGATGACAAAATATGTGACTGGGGCAAACATGATAATCATGGGATGCTTGTCATGTAACAACATGACTACATGTCATACTTATGATGCGCTCACGGCCGTTTCGCTAGCTTCTCATGAACCCGATTCGGTATTCCGTGACTTAAATGAATGACGAAGGTGTGTGGCTGGTAAAAACATGATAATCCTGAGATGCGTGTCATCTAAAAACATGACTATATGCTGCGCTCATGATGTGCTCGCGGTCGTTTTCCTAGCTTAATATGTACCAAATTTGCTATTACGTGTCGCGAATGAACGACATAGGTAAATGACACGTTGAAACATGATGATCATATGCGTGTCATGTCACAACATGACTACCTCGCACACTCACGATGCGTTCGCGGCCGTTTCGCTACCTTCACATATGCCAAATGTGGTATTACGTCACGTGAATGAATGATGAAAGTATGTGACTGGTACAACCATGATAATAATGAGATGCGTGTCATGTAAGATCATCAATACACGCCACACTCAAGGCGCCAATACACTTGGACGTGAGCCGGCACGCGTGCGCGCCGGCGTTCATTTTATCTCGTCACGCCAGTGATGCCACTCCAGGTGCCAATATCCCCCTAGTAGAGATCAGTGGATCTGCCCACTGACCTTCATTGTGTATCCGCATGCCATATACTCGAAGGCGCGCGACTATATGGCATGCATATACTCGCGGTTGCCCCATGCGGGATAACTTCAGTCATTCTGTATGATACTGCTTATACTATATCAATCGGCCTCATTTCGATTGAGTCCGCTAGGGCACCATGAATTTCGAAAGACGTGCACCTTTGATGTTGGTGACAGACTTCTACGTAACCAAGGGCAACGTAAATCACTGCTACTTCCGCGGACAACGATACTGATTAGTGTAGTAGTTTAGACACCCGTCTTGAAGACAACAAAAGTTATTGAAAAAATTTGTTGAATGACAAAAGAAAGCTACAGCAATGCCTAGGCTGTCGCTGCGTACAAAGGCATAGGTAAATACTTTAAAGTAGTGCCAAAATACTAGAAATAGATGTGACTGGGGCAAGCGGAAATAGTGTCGAAAAGCTTGATCTCACTTTATGCGTATTTATGTTAGATACAAATGAGCAGGAATGCTGCATTTGATGTGCCCTTTCGATATCTTTAAGGAAGTTGTTTCGTCTGAATGGATATTAAGGCAGAAACTTTCTCCGTGTGAGAAATCGAGCCTGGTTTCCGCTCAGTCTGCATTTTTAAAAGCAACTATGGTGAGCTTCTGTTTGCAGTGGAAGCGATCCAATCCTACAATATCATCACTTCAAGATTCGGAGTGCTACAAGGTGATAGCTGTCAAGTTGAGACATTAAAGCATTCTTTATTATGAGGCAAGAAAAATAAATCCTCGGCGCACACAACAGGCATATAGCAGGCAAAGCAGGCGGCACACCGAAGACTACAAAGGTGTACATTCCGCATGAGAATACAAATCATTGGTGCACCTGTAGCGCTTGTATGTACAGAGCCGTCGATCATAGCATTCAAGGTGAAAACATATTTAAGCAGAGACAATAATTAGCGGCACACATGGTTTACATCATGGCGCCAACAAACGCAGTCAGCGATGGAAAGAAAAATGATAGGTGTAACCTTAGGTGACAAGAAGAGAGCAGAATGACTTAGGCAACAAATGGGGATTAAGGATATCATGCTTAAAAGAAATAAGAAATAGACATTTGACGGGCACGTAGCGCGT